TCACTTTGTTGACATTTATACTGATGATGCAGAGACAATGATGGGGAAAGCTGCTGGTACGTTAGCTGGTAATTAGTCAGTGGTAGCAAACCATACTAGCAATCATTCTCACATACTTTACCCCCAAGCCCTCACCAGGAAATAAATAGCAAGTTTCATTGAAGAAAATCCTTGACAAAGCAGTAAATAGGTTTTTTTGTTTTTGTTTTTCTTTTGTGTTTTTTTGAGACAGAGTTTCACTCTTGTTGCCCAGGCTGGAGTGCAATGGCGCGATCTTGGCTGACCGCAACCTTTGCCTTCCGGGTTCAAGTGATTCTTCTGCCTCAGTCTCTCCAGTAGCTGGGATTACAGGCATGCACCACCACGCCCAGTTAATTTTGTATTTTTAGTAGAGAAGGGGTTTCTCCGTGATGGTCAGGCTGGTCTCAAACTCCCAACCTCAGGTGATAGGCCCACCTCAGCCTCCCAAAGTCCTGAGATTACAGGCGTGAGCCACTTCACCTGGCCAATAGTTTTAATTTTATTAAATTTTAATCCTTGAGTATTTGGCTGTTTAATATTCTGTGTGAAGAAATAGAAAGGACACAGTATAGATGTCTGTTGCACACCAAGCTAACTCCAATCTGCTAGCAATAGATTATGCCCTTTCTGTTCTATCCTGTACCTACATGGCTGCCCATTCTTTGTTAAACTTAAGCATAAAAACAGTTTCTTCTGTATCTTTTGGTCTTCATTCTAAAGGGCCCTAGGTATACACATTAAATAAATGTATATGCTCTGTCTCCTATTAATCTACTTCATGTCAGTGATTTTCAGCAAATCTTCAGAGGGCCAAGCCCTGGCCCAATTCACAACATTGCAACTTACCAAGTTTTGATGTAGTATAAAGAAGGAATATCTTAAAAAGCCTACAAACACTCTTTCATTTCCCAGTTACATTTGTGTGTGACACCAGGTTTTTTTTTAATACCTCTAATCAAAACAACAATTGAATGCAAAGCAAATAGGAGAATCCAGCTGTTTTCTATTAGCTAGACAGCAAAGAGATTTGTGAACATGGAAAACAGTGCTACTTTTCTCACTTTGGGTTTTGAAAAACAGCTATTTCACAAAATTTTATTAAGTTGGTATGTAACTACACTTATTATTACTTTAAATGATGAGTATCTTAAAACTTAAGTTAGCTTTAACGTCTAATGTGGTTAATGTTGATAGATAAAACATATATAAACTTTTTTTTTTTTTAAGTTTCTCAATAGTTAAGATTGTAAAGAGTTTCTTTACCAAAGTTTCTAGAAGCAAATATACAGAAGGATTATGATGGTGCTAATCCTTGTTCTGGATACTTTGTCTCTCAGACATACAAACATACAGTTTTGTGCTGTGGGATGGAGGTCAACAATAATATACAGCTAACTCACATCTACACAAGTAAAAACGATCATGTTTTCTCTGTTGTCTTGTACAGGTGAAAACATAACAGATATGGGTTCTATAACGTATATTTCAGGATGTCAAAACCCGAAAGGGATGGGTGAAAGGATGTCATCTTCTGATCCAGAGAGCTCATTTAAGATAGAAAGCTGAGGTTTACCTAATGTTATTCAATTGATTGGTGCCACAGCTTATTAGTGAAACTGGATCTTATGTCTCTTAATCTGGTGCTTGTGAATCATTACTCCATGACCAGTGATTGTAATGTTGGCCTGAGACTCAGAAAAGAAGTTGCATTAAATGTGAATGTCTGGGATATATTCAGGAGCACTGACTGAGTCAATCTAAAAGACTGAAGGGGCCAGGCAAAGTGGCTCACATCCATAATTGCAGCATTTTGGAAGGCAGAAGAATTGCATGAGCCTAGGGGTTCAAGACCAGTCTGGGCAACATAGTGAGACCCCATGTCTATAAAAATAATAATAAAGGAGTGAGGGGTTGGCTGGGTGTGGTGGTTCATGCCTGTAATCCCACCAGCACTTTGGGAGGCCGAGGCGGGCAGATCATGAGGTCAGGAGTTCAAGACCAGCCTGGCAAATATAGTGAAATCCCATCTCTATTAAAAATTCAAAAATCAGCCAGGTGTGGTGGTACACACCTGTAGTCCCAGCTACTTCAGAGGTTGAGACAGGAGAATTGCTTGAACCTGGGAGTCGGAGGTTGTAGTGAGCTGAGATCACGCCACTGCACTCCAGCCTGGATCAAAGAGCGAGAACCCATCTAAAAAAAAAAAAGGTGGCAGGGGTGGGGGGGTGGGTCGGAGGACAGTAGAAAGCTGAAGTAGGTCAAATAGGAGAGCCTAGAATGAAACCACAGTTAAGGCTCACCAAGAATAATTCAAGGAATAGAAAGGCAGGAAAAGAGTTCAGTACTAATGTTTTTCTAAATACCCACAATGTTGCTGGCACTAAGCTAAGCTCTTAATTTAACACATTAATCATCTAAACCATTTTGTAGCTATATCCTCCATTTATCAACCAAGAAATGAAGATCCAGAGAGGTGAAATATGCTTCCAGGCTCACAAACAGCAAACATCAAAGATGGGATTTGAATGTAGTCTCTCTCAAACTTGAAAGTTGGCTTTCAAGTAACTTTCACCTCCGGCTTCACATTGTATTGGCCTCTTAACTCTTTCGTTGGTGTGCAAATGGGAGGATGACAGAAATGCAAATGCATAGCTGTATATCCATTTGCAGTCAGAGAACATTTTACTTTTGTTTTATGGGTCATGAATTACAAGTACGAGGTGAGAAACAAGATTAGTTTTTCTATAATAAAGAAAACTAGTTTTACTAAATGTGCGTCTTGCTTGACTATTAGCACAGGCACAGTTAAAACGCTAGTAAGCAGTAATAGGTATTCCTGTATTGCATATCATATCCATGAAAGTTAGAGCTGGAAGGTTAAGTGTCCCCCTGGGGCCTCACAGCTAGACACTTGGCACCCCACAATTTCCACTCTACCTCTAAATCAATCTAATCCACGTTATATGTCAGAGTGCAGGAGTTAGGTAATATATTTAAAATTATAATTTAGCATTTGAAAACTAACAAAAAACTACCGAATCAGGAAGATAGAGTCTGATTAAGTGGGATGAAATGGTGCTCTGAAATTTAAGCCAGTCTTTTGAAGAGTTGAACCACCTAAGGCAGAGTTCAAACAAAGGCTGAAGCGAGAAGGTCTGCTGGGGAATGAGTTTCCCCTGAGCAGCGTGAAGTCATCAGGCCAAGGTAATGCTTCCCAGAGTGGTAACCGCTGTGTGTGGAGGTGGTGAGGGGTTTCGGAAACACACAGTATTTTGCAGGTCGGCCCCTGGGGACTAGGATGGCTGACTCCCTGGTATTGCAGTAAAATGTTTTACCTCTAATCACATCCCCCAACACTACACCTTGTGCGACATGTTGAAATCATCGTTTCCAGTTTATTCGACTTTTCTGTGTCGACTTGTTCATTATAGCCCAAATAAGTGATAAGGACTTGAAGACCCAGTCCTGTCGAGTGCCAAAGAAGCCCACCCCTCAGAGGATCCTTGGAAGGGGAGGAAAGAAAAGGAAAGGAAAGGAAGAAAGAAAAGAAAGAAAGAAAATCTGTTTTACCCTTTAACAATTTCAACCGCAATCTCCAAAGACCAAGTTGGTTAATTTGTAAATTCAGTCATTTTTTTCTAAACAGTGCCACCTACTGTCTATTTTAAGTCATCAGAAGGCTTGCTGGCAAGGACCAAGAGAAAGAAAGGGGCGGACGATGCAGGGAGGGGGGCGACGCGGGGGGAACTAGCCAAAAAACGAACTCTACCCGGCCTTGGGACAATTGTAAAAAACGACGAGAAAAGGCCATCTCCAAACAAGACGTATTTTTACTCGTTAACTTTGCGTAAGAAAGTTTGCAAGAAGCAAAAGCCACTTATGTCACTTCCTTAGACATGGCTAAATATCAGCCCTCCAGAAAACAATTTGTATTATTTTCAATGCGCGCTGTTTTGAGTATTTTTATGTTAGGGGACCAGGTTGAGCCAAAATACACATATAATTATTTTTCTATTTTTTTCCGCCCACCCACAGCAGAAACCTCTTAAGGAGAAGGCTTTGACACTTGACGTCAGCTCAGAAACTTTTGAGTTGGCGGGAAGAAAGGGTTAACAAGCGGTGGAGCGGCGGGGTCTTTTTAGAGTCCCAGCCGGCTGTCGAGGGCTCCAGGTACACACACACGCGCACACTCACACACACACACACGTGCACACCCCTCCCAACTATTCCTCCTCGGGGCGGTTACTTAGCCGAAGGGCACCATTTGGCTTTAAAACAAATTACTTAAGCACAACAGGGAGTTTATCGCTCGGAGGGAACGTGTAACGCGGGGGTTCAGGGAAGTCCACGAGGCAAGGGCTCTCACCTCCGCCGCCCGAAGAGAGCCGGGAATCAGGTGGTGGCCCCCTCTGTGGCTTCCATTTCTCTACACACGTTAGCAATCAAGTTAATTGAATTCATTGGAGTTTAGAGCCGGCCTCTAGCTCAGAGAAGGCTTTGAATGGCCAATTTCTCTCTCCCTCTCCCTCTCCTCCTCCCCGCCTCCCGCCCGCCCGCCTGCCCGCGCTCCCAGTTCCCTCCCCTCAGGGTTCCCCAGTCCACACCTCCCTCTCCACTTCCCTCACCCCCCCACTCCCTCCGCCGCCCTATTAAAACACCCACCAGCTCACTTGTTAAGACCCCCTTAAGTTAGAGGAGGCAGAAAGGCAACAACGGCGAGGAAGGAGAAGTCAAGACGTCTGGAAAGAATTACCCGGTCCTGGCTTCGAGCAGCCCATTGAACCAGGGACTTGAAACAGCCCCAGCCAAAGACTTTTCTCCCGATTCTGCGCTTCCTGGGTTCTGCTGAGTTTCCCGCAGGCTTTTTTTTTTTTTTTTTTTTTTTTTTTTTAAAGACGAAAAAGAGATTTTCTGTTATCGGGGGGAGAAGGACTGAAGAAAAAAAAAAGAAGAAAAAAAGTTAATTTATTTTTAAAGCATAATTTTTTTTAAGAATTAGAAGACTGAAGTGCAACAAAAAAAAAATAAAGAGAATATTAGTGAAATTACTTTTTAAAGTGGGGGAGAATCAAACATTTAAGACTTCCCTATCCTGTTTAAATGTTGCTTTTAAATTTCTTATTTTTTTTGGCCGGTCGTCTCAAATTCATCTAATCTCTTATTACCTCAATTTTGGAAACTGTCCGCCACCGACCCTCCGGGACCACACAGACAGGCTGAGGACGACTTTATGACCAAGAGCTGAACAAGGTACGTTACACTGGCGCGATTTGGTGAACGACGAAGGTCCTCAAATAGGCCAGGGGGAAGGAAGAAATTATCCATATAAGTGTTTTGAAATTTTTGGAAAATGTGGAGTTTTAAAAATTTCCAAGACTGAAGATCAGGGAATATTTCAGGTCACTGCCAGGCTTAGCAACAGAGCCCTCTTTTCCCATCTCTGTGGTTCTCGCCAGAAATCCGCTTCCTTTCTGGGGACACAGGTAACCTCTCTGCCTGGGGAAGGCGGCACGTCCCCAGATGGACTTTTCCATTTTGCATCTTCCGGAGCAACAGAGGGGCTCCTGAGTTAGGAAACAGAATTTCCAATGTGTAAGGAAAATGCATTCTGCACAGCCGCCCCCACCCCTTCCCTTCTCCCGCCCCACACACACACTCTATGTGGAGAAAAGCTGCAATAGCCCAGCGCGTTTTACTTGTGAGAAACTTGCTGGGAATGCAAAGAGTTAAGCAATCTGGGTTTCCAGCTCCGGCTAGCTGGGACCCTGGAGAAGGAGGGTCCTTCTCTACCTCCTCGCAGCTACCGGCCCCTCTCGGCCACTCCCCCCTTTCCCGGGCCTCCCCTCCTTTACACTTCCCGCACCCCATTAAAGTGTCAGGCTCGTAAGCCTGGGCTCAGCTCGGCTCCGGAAGTCTTACTCGGGCCGGGGTCCCTGATGCAGGCGGTGACACTCGCAGCTGGGAGCGGAAGGAGGGCGCGCATCCCTCCTCTCCGCGCAGGGCCGGTCCGCCGGCCGCCCGGGGGCAGGGCGTGCTAGGGGACCGCGTGCAGCGCTTTAGCAGCTGCAACGTCCCCAGAGCCAATTCCGACGTGGCACCGCGCACGCCGGCGCTTCCCTCCTCAGCTGCAGCTGGGGACACTGCCCGGTGGCAGATCTGGGGGCGCCTTCTCGAGCGCCCAGCCCGGGAAGGAGGCGAGGGGCCCACGGGAGCTGGGGTGGAGGTGGGAGGGAAGCCAGAGGCTGGGTTTGGATGGATAATCAACACCTTGGGCGGAATTCGTCACGCCTGTTCCCGCCCAGCGTGAGCCAGGGCTCCGAAATGGGTCCCTGTGAACAGGAGGGCGGGTCTGAAAGAAGGGTCTGTGTGAGGGTGAGAACCGCGAGGCGAGAAAGCCTTTTTCCTCTGGCCACGGAAACGCAGCCGCGGGAGAACGGCGCTGAAAGGATACCTGAGGCTGCGAAGAGGCGCTGGGAGCACAGGGGCGGTGCCTGGGGACGAGGGCTTGCAAGACCCGGGTCCTGATACACAGCCTTGGGGGCCAGTTTCCCCCAGCGCCTCGCTCTCCAGCCCCCAAACGTCCGCGCCGAGCGTTTGGACTCGGGGACACCGCGCGCCTCTGGGGCAAACGAGCTAAACGTGTAGAAGCCCCGTCAGCCCCTCCCCTGCCCACTTCCTCACCCTTGGAACCGTGGCTGCTTGTTGGATCTCGGGAGCAATTGCCCAGAAACTCTAGGCTGCTCCAACCCACGTGTCTGCGCTGGGATTGCCTTTGACGTCACACCCAGGGGGAGGGGTGACGCAATAGATACGGAAGCCCTGATTGGCCATAAAGGGCTTCCCCCAACTGGCGGCCTGAGTATATAGAGCCCGTCAGCTCAGTGTTAGAATAAAGCGAAGCAAGTTGGTAGTTGGGCTTTGCTGAAGGAGTGAGCCAGTGTTAAGAGGGAGACAACTCATTGTACATTCCAAGGCTTTGGCTCAGATTTCTCACTGCGGTTAAGGCATAGGATAAGTACCTTTGGATCAAATCAGGTTATTTTTTTAAAAAAAACGTTATTTTAGAATAACGTTTTTAACGGTCAACACATACATTCACGATACTAGGTTTAAAATTAAATTGTGTATTTCTATAGATCTAAGTCCATTGAATTCCTTGTAGATACACTTTTAAGTTTTATGCTTATACGACTATTGAATTGAAAAGAACTTTGAAATTCTAAATTTTTATTTCCTTCCAATGTGTGCAAGTTGATTCGTGCATTAAATTAGTTTTCACCACATTTTTCTATAGCTTAGTAAGATCACAGTACAGCTGAGGTACTGGTTTTTGAGCACCCATCACACTCCACCAGAAGTTTTCCTGAGAGTTTGGCGATTCTTTTACATTTTCAATGACAATTTAACACTGCAAAGTACTCATTGTGTTTATATATTATGTCTTGTATGTGTTTCCAGTTCTGGAGACAGATAATTCTGATTTCTAAATAGACATTTGTAGAATAAAATATTGTAACTAGAGTATCATCCCTCCTATTCCTTTTTTTCTTAGATATCACCTGAGTCGGATAAATAGAAAAATATATTATAGACATACTGACAAATGCGTATTACCTGAGTTGCTTGTACTGTAGCTGGAGTCAAAAAATTTATCAAAGAAAGTTATGCGTTTTATAAAAATTCAAGGACTTAACAAATCAGTGACTAGCATTAAATTCTAATGTCACTCTCCACAAAGCAAGGATTTAGTCAGCTACCTTCCTGGAAAATAAAAATTGTGCAACAAGTGAGTAAGACACTGTTACTAGAAAGTAAGTTAGTTTGGAACCAGTCATTTTTGTTAGGTCTATAGAATATAGCCCCATAGTATTGATTTTCATAAATACTTTCCCATACATGGTTTCCTTACCAGGTAAGACGTTTTAATTTTTTTTTTCTTGAATTTTTAAACACCTGGCACTGGTTCATTTATTTCCTGCTGTTGGCACTGTGGGGAGAGTCCTTTGTCTATGGATCAAGGTGGACACACTCTTTTTCAAAGTTACATTACACAGTTAATTTAAAAGTGTAAGAACAGGCAGTTTGTTACATTATTAGCTTCCTGGCTCTTGTATGAAATGTGACCCCTGAGTTAAAGTAGTGGGCGGACAGAGCATAACCTCCGTGTTTCAAAATGTGATCTGGTTTCTTCTTTTTATCCATGCCAACTTAGGCCGTGTTCCTCTAAGAGGCTGCAGTGACAGAGTTGGTAGCAGCCGGTATGTCAACTGAGCTGAGGGACAGCTACCTGCAGAGAAAACTCATTTTCATCATCCCAACTTGATGTTTTATCCTTTCCCCTCTAGCAGCAATCGGTGTAGAGTATTATCCTACTGCATACAGCCTTATATTATTTAAGTGTATTTTTCTTACGCCTGTAACCCCAGGACTTTGGGAGGCCAATGAGGGCAGATCACCTGAGGTCAGGAGTTTGAGAACAGGCTGGCCAACATGGTGAAACCCTGTCTCTACTAAAAATACAAAAATTAGCCGGGTGTGTTGGTAATTATCCCGGCTACTCGGGAGGCTGATGCAGGAGAATCGCTTGACCTCAGGAGGTAGAGGTTGTATTGTAGTGAGCTGAGATTGTGCCACTGTACTCCAGCCAGGGCGACAGAGCAAGTCTCCTTCTCAAAAAGAAAAAAAAATAAAAAGTATATTTTTAATGGTAGTCTTGTGGAGTTCATATATATATTCCTTTTTCTTTCCCACAATCTAGGAGAATGTTACTGATGAGAGACAGTTAAATATAACAAGGTCACTGTTAAATATTTTCTTATTTAAATAAATTTATTAATGAATGCCTCTTAACTAAATACATCTGTTCTGCAGATAATTAAAAATGTGTTCAAAATGTATTTAATGAAATTTTAAAATAATCAGACTGTAAGGCAAAATATGATCAGGCCCCATAAGAAACAGCAGCTATTGTTTGTCACATGTCTAGTATGTTTCAGGCACTCGACTAGATGGTTTACGTAAGTATATCTAATCCTAATCTGCAAAGAAACTTTTGTAAATAAAAGAACTTTGCCTCAGAAAAGTTAAGCAATTCACTCAAAGTGAATTAGTAAGGGGTGTGGCTGGAATTTAATCCAAGAATTCTTGAATATAATGCCCTTGAACTGAATTCATGCTAATTTATGCTGCAGCTGCACTAGTCAAATTTTATGGGGGTTCAAATTGAGAAGTCACATCTGATTGAGAGAGATCAGTAGAGATTTCCTAAGGAGACTTGGCACTTGTGCTACATTTGACTGTGTAGATAGGGTTTTGACCTATAGGGATAATTCCCAGGAGCCAATGTAGGTTCATGTAAAACTAAGATTCTGTGTCAAATCTTTTGGCACATTTTTCCCCCTACACTGAACTAACTTTAGGATGATGAAGTTCAAGAACCAGTAGAGCAGTTGGAAGAATGTACCTCCTAGAAATAATTGATTCATATGGACGGTGCAAAGGAAAAGAAATCTGAAACCTACAGTTCTGAACCCAGACACCGCTGTGGTGAGAAATCCTGTAAAAGGCTTGTATCCTAACCCTGCAAGCTTGGCTCAAGGGTCTTTGCCAGGATAAGTGCAGTGGGACTAGAGAGGAAAAAGGCAGACTTCAAAGCCAGTGAGGAAGAGAAGGTCACAAGGGGAGAAGGGAGGTTGGGAGGGGGAGTCGGGAGGGTTCATGCTTTGTGTTCCAGGCGGCAATGTGCTGTAATGTGAAGTCTTTCGGGGGAGACTTCATTTGGGTACTCTTATCTCAGATTTCTACTTAGGGACAGTAGCAGAGGGAATACACATCAGGGATGGGTATAAATGTGAATGAGGTCATGAAAGTCTTATTTTACTTTAACCTGGTGGTTGCCAAACTTTGTTATATAGTTGAATTGCTGGAGGAGATTTTAAAACCTGTAATGACCTGGGCACAGCCCATATCAATGAACTCAAAATGTGGGAGCCACAGATCAGATAATTTTGTGGATTCATGGGTAGTTTGGATATATAGCAAAATTTAGGAACCACTACTTTTTAACCTTTGCTCACCATACCTTCCTAATCCACTCTTAACCAGCAGATAGGTACCACCTGAGTATCATCTTAGAAGCCGATTTCTATGATCCTTGCTAGTGTCACCAACCTAGATTAATGTTTCTGATTCTAATTATTATGCATATAATATAAGGCCTGTTGCCCCTTCTGCCACACAACATGAGTTTATACATAAAGACAGCCTATGTTTTAGAACCATAGACAGCCTATGTTTAAATTGACTAAATCCCCCAATCCAAAGACAGACAGGCAATTTGGATAAAAAACTAGAACCAGTTCTACTATTTATTGAATGTGATCTTGAACAATGCCTTCATTAGAAAAACATTCTTTAAATGTCTCATCATCTTTTGTGCCTTTGTGCTTTTAAATACTTGGCTATAAGTTAAAAAGACACTGAACCTAGTCTTCAGTAGATTTTGAAATATAATGATGAAGAGAGGCAAGTGTACTTTACAACTTAAGTTCAAAGATGTTACTTGAATTGTCCAGGACACATGACTTATTCATATAACCCTCAAGTGGTTTGTCTGAGCCAGGTTGCTAATATGAGGCAGAGTGTGGACTTGAATCCATTTCTTCTGATTCCCAGTCCTCCTGTTCTTTTCATCACGCCATAGTTATTCCTTGTTTACCCACAAGTAATGGGTTAAATGGAAGGAAGGAGTCAGGCTAATTAGGTAGTTACTGGCAGGAAACTAACATCACTGAGATCTGATTGTTGATAATTTCTTTTTAAAATATGTACTTACACTTCTTTTTTAAATCTGATAATCTGTTTTATGAGTAAATATCTTTAGCTCCATTTTATAGATGGAGAAACTGAAGATGACAAGTAGTATATAACTTGCTCAAGGTCATCCAGCCACTAAAAGGAAGAACGAGGATTCTGTCCTAACTCAGTCAGGTTCTAGTGGTCAAATTCTCTGAAATTGATAGTAGATGCAGAGCTGGGATTTGAACACTAGTATAGCTGATTTCAAAATATTTGCTAATCTGATTAATACCAACTAATTTATTCAATTGCAAAGATAAGACATACGTGAACACATGCTCACAAGTCATTAGAGCCAAAAAACCAAGCAGTATATGGATTAATGGACAATAAACACTGTAAGGGTACTGAAGGAGTTCAAGTTGATAAAAGTTCATGCCCCAGCTTGACCCCTGAGCTCATAAAGTAACTCAGATTGCAACTCACAATCCCTGTAAATGCTCTTGGGCACCATCTATCTGCCTTTTCTATCTTTGCTTTCTGAAGATCTTCTAGACCTGGTCTGGGACTCCCGGCAACCACTGCCTTAAGACATCTGGGTGAAAAATTATGGAGATGGTTTCTTTTAAAAACAAAAATGACTGGGGCCGGACGTGGTGGCTCACGCCTGTAATCCCAGCACTTTGGGAGGCCAAGGCAGGTGAATCACCTGAAGTTGGGAGTTTAAGACCAGCGTGACCAACATAGATAAACCCCTTCTTTACTAAAAATACAAAATTAGATGGGTACGGTGGCACATTCCTGTAATCCCAGCTACTCAGGAGGCTGAGGCTGGAGAATCACTTGAACCCGGGAGGCAGAGGTTGCAGTGAGCAGAGATCATGCCATTACACTCTAGCCTGGGCAACAAGAGTGAAATGTGGTCTCAATAATAATAATAATAATAATAATAATAATAATAACTGCTTGAGGGGTACCCTTAAGGGCTTGGTTGTCTCTAGCACATATTCACTGCCTCTGCAGAAAGACTAGGG